GGGCCCACCTCGATGAGCAATGTTTATAGTTTAGTTCCAAATGTGGCCACTTATTACAGTTAGACCGAAGATATTCATTGATTATTTAAGTGTCTATCATGGTAGAATTAGAAAGAAGGCCTGGCTGTCCTAGTAGTTGTAGATCCATCCGGACGACTGTTATGTGGGTGCAGCATTCTCGAGACATGGCCAAAGCAAGTCCGAAAATGGCAACGAGGTGCAGGCGGTCAGTCCCACTCTCAGCTTAGGCTGGCAACAGCTCCGCTGAGAAACCACTACCGCTAGTTCTCCTCTAAGAAGTTGTGAGTACCAATCTAGCGATGGAGAACTTTAGTACTAGTGCTGACGACTAGTACTATATCTAGTGCAGCTACTTCTCTAACTCTACCTCGTCGGTCTACCTCCAAGCGATTCAGTCTAGTACTCATCTTCTCACCAATAACACTCATTATTCATCAACATCCTCGTTTTGGTTTCTGTGTTTCTGAAGCAAAAAGACTCACGCTACAGTGTAACATAATCCATTGAGCACCGAGATGGAGATGGCCGCCGTCTTTGTGCAGCTATGTTTGTGTGGAGTCGATCCCGAGTGCGGAGGCAGTGCTACAAATAGTAACTTTGGATGAGTGAATTTGACCAAGCAAGATCTTTCGACAATTTTGTGCATTTTGGGATTAAGTGCGCCTTTTTTTACCTTTCATCACAGAGAACCCATGGACGGCCAGGATGTATGAGCAATATTTTTTTATCAGTGAGCGCTTTCATTTCATTCATCCGACAAGAAGGGGGGCCATGTCATAATCGAAAAACTACAAGTGCATGGCGGTCGAGAGCAACGGCATCCACGTGCTTCGTCATTAGTGGCGGAGGCACACAGAACGTGTGTAGATGCCGAGTGTCCACCTATACTCTCAGGCGTAAGATTAATAAGCGTTCAAGTTTTTGGGAAAAGTTTAGCAAACGTGCGCAGCTGAGGAGACAAGTAGCCAAGATCCCACACCCTCCAGAAGTCTTTGGCAGGAATGTGCGAAGAAAGCAAGAACCCCTGAGAGACATCTAGAGCGATGCCGCAAGTGGGATGGTGTCACGTGGCTGCCCCTCAGTAAAAAGCGTAATGTCAGAAAGTATGCTTAGGTTAGGGCTTTAGGAGAGATTTCGCCAAAAAAAACTGAGTAGCTTGCGTAGTGGTGTTTGATTTAGGGTTTTTTCGGTTCATAGGTTTTCAAAAAAAAATTGAGCAGCCTGAGGGTTAGGGTCTCATCTTCTGCCACAGTTGTTCGTAGAGTTGCTATTCCTTGTTCGCCGCGCGTGTGCCGTGAGCCTCTAGCAGCTACCAACTTCCGCGCTTTTCGTGCCAGAGGCCCAAGCAAATCATGACGCGACGCGCCAGCTTGTTGATTGTCTGCATAGTCCTCTCTTTTTGGTGCCAAGGTGAGGGACTGGAGCAACACTCTCATGAGGTGGACTCAGGAGGAAGGGTTACTCGTCTTGGTCCAGGTAGACCCAGGCGCATCCGCAAGGCAACGAACACGCCGCGCGGTCTCAATAACATTTTGGAGATTATGGAAGGTGCACAGAGTGCGTCAGAGAAAAAGCGTCATGTGCAACGCTGTGCCTGCATATTATTGAGAAAGCGTTTCTTGGTATGCAAGAAGGGGCGTGTATCATAAGGAAATGCCTAGGATTGCGGAGAGAATTTCTAACATTTCGTTTATACAGGTGTTGGGGATGGTTCGCGATACTGAGGAGTTCGCGCTAGAAGTGCTTTCAGGAGACGAAGACGATCTAGGCCTGGTGCCAAGCTCCGATATTAAGAAGACTGTGAACCAACTGCTGGGCGAGAAGCGGCGCGCGGACGTCGTGTTCGACGCAACACAAATAAATGCTGCGATACTCTTCGCTCAGCTAATCGACTTCGACAAGGCATGCGACGTAAAGGAGCCTCTGTTGGGCTTCCGGGAATATATGGACACACTTACAGAGTAGTCTACTTTTGAAAGGGTGCTGCCAGTGTTCTGGTGAATGCTGATTTCTCACTTTTTTTGCTTCTGTGTCCCCTGCCTCCCTCAGCTTACGCACCCTACGCTCCTAATCGATCATAGCTGCCGCCTTGGTGTGTGTGAATATGTTCTAATTATAGGAGGGATAGCACAAGTGAGACGCTGGCGCAGCTCGTGACGCCGCGCAGGACCATGCTTGAAAATCTAGTCGTAGCCTTCAATTCTGGGGTCTCCGATTTTCTGAAGCTCAAGCGGTCGGAAAATATGAGTATGAGTCTAGGAAACTGCAACGTCGACATCGGTAGCACACAGTCGAATTCGATACTCAATGCAATCACAGAAGCGGAAGGGGCTATGCAAGAATCAGCTGGGAACCCTGATGTTTTGTTCGGCTTCGCTGAGGCTGAAGGTAGCACGCAGTAGTTATTCTGCTATGCGAGTGTTTTTGTTGCATAGATATAGAAGAAGCAAAAGCGAATTTTGTGTTGACTGAGATCGTCGGCAAAACCACAGGGAATATTCCTTCCGCTAACTATGATTGAAACATCCGCACTTTCAGGGATTTGGAGGGCGAGCATTGCAGAAGACCGTTGAATTGTAGCAACTAAACGGGAAAGTGAGACGCAAGTCTATGTGGAGAAGGTGGATGGAGAGGAGGGAGCATGATATCCGGAGGCCAGTTCAGACTCTGGCATTTACGCATATATCCTTGATGCGTCGATAAGTCATGGTCTGCTAAGCTTCTCTTCGCTCTCGTTTGAAGAAGGATAAGAAAAATAGAGAAAATCTTCGCAATTGATGTCCCTCACAAATCAAAGCATACTACACATCACAGGTACTTCGGCGGACTCTTTGATAAGTGCCTTCCACTTATCAACTTGAATTCCCTGGCTGGTGGGGCCATAGATTCCGTTGGTCGGAATTGAAGGAGATGGTAGGGGGATTTGGCTGGTGGGGCCAAGGATGGCATAGAAGATGCATTTGTGACGACGGCGCTAAAAAGACATATGAAAGCGGAAGGTACAGCGTCAGCCCCTCTTTTCAATTTCGTTCCTGTCGGCGTCGTTGGGCTTGAGGATTAGGAAGGGCAACAAACTTATTGAATTTAGAAACAACTGAAGTGCTCCTTGCGGATGATCAGGAAGATTGATGGCGTCCTTTACGTTTACACTTTTTTATGCAATGAAACACAGCCACACAACGCCTCTACATGCAGGTACCTACTGTTGCACCTATCCGAGCTATACCGCACTGGTGGGTCGATTCTTTCTGTTTTTAAAAGAAATGACGAGCGTAGGATCCAACTGAGATGGGTGGCATTGGAGACGCATGTAGTTGACATGGGTAACAAGACTGGGACGGTGGACCTCATTGAAGACGCCTGCCCAATGCGTACACACTGGCGATGGGTGGTACTTTTTGTTTTCCTGAGTTATCAGCGAAGGGCTTACATTGAGAATATTGAAATCCCAAAGTCATAGGTTTGTTTTTTTTAGAGTAATACTTCATAAATTTGATTTTGATATCAGTTATCTCTGAGTGCCTGTGTCGTGAGACATCTGTTCTGGTTCCAAAATCAGGCAATGCTTGCGTTGATACTCGTTTCGTTGGATGGTTGTGAAAATGAATGGTATGCTGGCCATAAGTTTGGACTGTACCATCATGAAAGGGCGCCGGGGATGTGAGGAGCCGGTGTCTGACAATGATATGACGTTCGACGCATGCGCAGGACACTGGTGTGCACGACGGTATCTTTTTTTGAGTCATGAACGAAGGAATTTTTAGAAAATTTAGATCGAAAATCATCACGTTTTTCGGAGTAGAGCTTCGTCAACTTACTTCTTCGCGTCAACTCCTGCGCATTGATTTCTGCCGTCGTTTGATGCTTACTCTCCTCCCAAAACCAGGTAGTGCGCACGCTGCCCTTCGTTTTGTCGGATCGCTGTGAGTGGCGTGGCCATAAGTTGAGACTGAGATGGTCAAGTGCTGAGGTGTGTGGCTGATGAAAATGACCCCGAAGACAATGATATGATGTATCTATAGTTTCGATATCCAAGATATTAATGTTGCTAAACTCCATTTGAATAATACGAAGGAACTGCAATAGCATTGCCCCATTTCATTTACATGGTAAGACAGAAACTTCGGAATCATGTTCGCAACACTAAGAAAGTCGCGCTTTTCAGGCGAATCAATAGAGACACGCGAGGAGAAATGATGGAGATTCTTGACACGTTGCAATATTTCGCAGGCTGCCATGTCTTTCTGACCATTCAAGACAGCAGGCAGTTCATCATCATTTTCACCTTTTTACGACTTCCTTGCACAGTAGACAACAGCTACTACGTTTGCATTTTTTTTGTCTGTCAGTATTCGTTTCGAATGAAGACCCCTGTATGGAACTCAAATGAAAGACTTCACATCATAGCGTCACTCTCTTACTGTTTCCGTAACCCTAAACGGGGTGTAGGAGGGGTAGCACGAGAAAATTAATAATATAGTTATCGCTGGGGTTTAGGTTTGGTTCTAGGGTTTAGGGTTTGGGAAAATTAATATCATCGCGGTTTTCGCTCGTGTTTAGGGAACCCTCAAAAAATAATAACACGGGAGCATCGTTTAGAATAAAGGGCTTTTGTTCTGATCGATGTGGGTCTCGTATTATTATTTTTTTGGGGTAGAAAGGGAGGGGGGCATTACGATTCCGGTAACTCATGAAAAAAAACTGGAGAAAAAGCGAGTTGATGATGTGCAATCAGATCCGGCCAACCGGATCTTTCCTAGCTGTGGACGCGCCAGAAAAATTGTGTTCATGGCACTCAGTCTCAGGGTCGTGCGGTTGTACTTGGTTTAATTATCCTGTATTGAGCTTTTCGAAGCCTCCGCATCCTGTGGAGAGTGATCTGATGCTCATGATCTAATGCCCATGATCTAATGCTCACGATCTGATGCTCATGATCTGATGCTCATGATCTAACGCTCATGATCTGATGCTCACGATCTGATGCTCATGATCTGATGCTCGTGATCTGATGCTCATGAACTGACGCCCATGATCTGATGCTCACAATCTGACGCTCATGAACTCGCTCGTCCCCTTGCTCGTCTTCGTTGTTGGCAAAGGGTTTAGGGTTTAGGGTTTAGGGTTTAGGGTTTAGGGTTTAGGGTTTAGGGTTTAGGGTTTAGGGTTTAGGGTTTAGGGTTTAGGGTTTAGGGTTTA